GGTACTGTTATTGTCTCGATTTTACTTATGAGGAAACTGATGCAAAAGGAAGTTTGGTAGCTCTTCCCATGTGGCTCAGTAAGTTGCTAAGCCAGGATTCCAATTCACAGAAGTCTTAACTCAAGAGTCTACACTCTTAACCACAAAACAGCATATAACACCTATGCTAAATAATATTACATGGGATTTTTTTAAAAAGTCATATTTTTGATAAGAAATTCAACTGAGTATAAACTTAGTATAAAAGTTATTTCAAGTTTAGAGAATGGAATACTTTTTTTAATGAGGAAAAATTTACATGCAGTGAATTGCACAAATCTTACATCTTGACAACAGCAAACACCAATATAACCTATGGCTCAGTCAAAATGTAAAGCATTTTCATCGCCCCAGAAAGTTCCTTCATGCCCCCCCAGTCAATCCTCACCTCCATAGACAACCACTCCTCTGTCAGCATTGTTTGTTTTGCCTGTTTTTGATTTTCAGTAAGTAGAGTCATACAGTAAACTTTTTATCTGGCTTGTTTTGCTCAATATATGCAAATAAAATTCATTTAGAACATTTTTTATCATTTGATCATTTTTTTCAGAGATGTCTTTTACATTATAACAGAAGCATCTGTTACTTTTTTCTTTCTCCCCATTTTCCAACTGCATAGTAATAGATCAGTTTAACTACTTTCTTATATTAAAATAAAAACTACCTAGTATTAAAATTTTTTTAAATTTTTTAAAAGAATTATTTTAAAAATCAGACCATGTTAATATCCTAATCTAGTAGTTTCAGGAAATAATTAAAATACATACCTAGAGTGTTGCAAAGACCTGCATTTTTCCATCCTTTTCCAGTCTTTATTACACTTTGCTCTGGATTTTCTGCTTGGCTGATAAAATGTGAAGAACATTCTAATTCTCTTAAGAGGCCCAATCCTTAATGTCCTGGAAGAGCTTTGCTTCTTCACTGCAAAATATCAGAATCGATAGTGAGACTTTGCTGTTTGCAGAGTCCAGCTTGTGCCATCCAGGCTTTTGATTGGTTAAATAAACTTATTAGAATAGCCTTAAATGATTCCACATGATAAAATACTAACTTTGTTTCTTAATACTTTACAACTTGACAAAGTTGCCAGAATGTTTATTCAGACATAGTTTTATTAGAAGAAATTCAGGCCAGATTGACTATAAAGCTTAGTTACTATGATCAAAGGCCATTACAACTGCCAAGTTTACTTCTAGGGTTTAAAGTTCATTGTTTTATCACACTTATTTTTCCTCCTTCAAATTAAAAAAAAAGATATCTTTTTTCTTGAATCATTTATTTGTTGTGATAGAGAGTTGTTACTCTGAGATTTCAGAAGTTGGGAAGCATTTAATTAATGACCACTCCACAGTGTTGATAACTAATTCACTTGGGAAAATATAGCCAGTGGTTTAAATATTTCTCATATAGTCATTTGTATGAAATTGGATTCAGCAAATAAAATAATGCTTTGAAGGCTATGAAAGATAGTTTTTCAGTTCTGCTTTGATTCCCAAAAATATAATTTCCAATTATATTTTTCCATAAGTTACTTCCTGACATATGTTAATATATATCCTTAAAACTGCCAGACGCGGTGGCTCACACCTGTAATCCCAGCACTTTGGGAGGTGGAGGCAAGAGGATTGCCTGAACCTATGGGTTCAAGACTAGCATGGGTAACTTGATGAGACCTCGTCTATACAGTAAATAAAAAAATTAGTTGGGCATGTTGGCACTGTTTCCAGCTACTTGGAAGGCTGAGGGGAGAAGGATCACCTGAGCCCAGGAGCTCGAGGCTGCAGTGGCCATGAGCATGCCACTGTACTTCAGATAAAAAGACAAAAAGGAGTGGTCAGATAATTCACCAATTATAACCATCCCCTTCTTTAATAAAAGAGTGTTTACTGCTTGATTAAGTTAAGAAATTTCCAGTGTTAAGTAACAGGGGCACACTTAACATAAATAATTGTCAGGGAGATAAATAGTTAAGCTACTCTTCAGCTCTGGTACAAAGTTTAGTATTTATGACTAAGAGTCTTAAAGGACTCTTAATCAACTCAAACTCGAAAGAGGAAAAATGTGATATAAGCCCTTCTTGGCCCCACTCTGTTGTTTTGCCTGCTTTAGACTGGCCCTCACGTCTTTTATTTCTTGCCAATGTCACCAATAAATATGTACCTTTTTTTTGCTATCATAGATGTCGAAAAAGTTAAAGAAAAATGAGTATTTTTATTAATGGAATACAAACTATAGAATTTCCTGGAGAGGTAAACTAAACATAGATAAAATAGCTAGATAATTATAAACAACTGAGTTGCATGTACTGAACATGAGTACTGAGGAAATTCAAAGATCCTGGACCAAGCAGTTTTTCTCCTGGGACTATCAGACATAAAAGTACCAATATTTAAGTACAGAGATGTTTATTGTAGCAACAAAAAGTTGAAAACTTTGTTGAATGCCTGCCAATGTAGAAATGGCTCAATAAGTTAGGGTATATCCACCCCAAGAAATGTCTTAGAGACAACAAGCAGAATGATATACCAAGTGACTCAGAGGATAGAGTATTGTTGGTGTGGGTATTGTTGTGTTGGAAAAGCAAGATATAGAAAAGAGCATATAGAGCTGGGCTCGGTGGCTCAGCCTGTAATCCCACGCCTTTGGGAGGCTGAGGTGAGTGGATTGCCTGAGCCCGCGGGTTCGAGACCCGCCTGGGCAACTTGGCAAGGCCTAATCTCTACAATAAATCAAAATGAGCCAGGTGTGGTAGCGCACGCCTGCAGTTCCAGCTACTCGGAAGGCTGAGGCGGAAGGATCGCCGGAGCCCAGCAAGTCGAGGCTGTGGTGGCTGGGAGTGGCCGCTGCACTCCAGTCTGGGTGACAGAGTGAGACTCCAACTCAAAAAAAAAAAAAAAAAGAAAAGAGCATATAGGACCAGGCACGCAGTGGCTCATGTCTATAATCCCAGCACTTTGGGAGACTGAGGTGAGAGGATTGCCTGAGTCCGTGGGTTCGACACCAGCCTGGGCAACGAGGCAAGACCTCATTTCTACAATAAATCAAAAAATTACCCAGGCATGGTGGCACGTGCCTATAGTTCCAGCTACTTGGAAGGCTGAGGTGGAAGGATTGCCTGAGCCAAGTAGGTCAAGGCTGCAGTGGCCAGGAGTGTGCCACTGCCCTCTAGCCTACGTGACAGAGTGTGATTCCAACTCAAAAAAAAAAAAGAAAGAAAGAAAAGAAAAGAGCGTATAATAGGCTGGGCACAGCCCAGCTAATTTTTTAAAATTTCTTTATTATTGAGACAAGGTCTCATCATGTTGCCCAGGTTGTTCTTGAGACCATGAGCTCAGGCAATCCTTTTGCCTCTGCCTCTCAAAGTGCTGGGATTTACGGCATGAAACCAAGCTTTTTTTTTTTTTTTTTTTTTTTTTTTTTTTTTTTTTTTTTTTTGAGTCAGTGTCTTATTTTGTTGCCCAGACTGGAGTACAGTGGCACGCTCATGGCCACCGCAGCTTCGACCTGCTGGGCTCAGGCAATCCTTCTGCCTCAACCTTCCAAGTAGCTGGAACTACAGGCAGGCACACTACCATGCCCAGCTAATTTTTTGATTTATTGTAGAGACGAGGTCTTGCCAAGTTGCCCGGGCTGGTCTCAAAACCTGGGTTTAGGCAGTCCTCTCCCCTTAGCCTCCCAAAGTGCTGGGATTATAGACTTAAGCCACCTTGCTCAGCCTTTTTTTTTTTTTTTAATAGAGATAAAATCTCGCTATGTTACCTAGGCTGGTCTTGAATTCCTGGGCTCAAACAGTCCTCCTGCTGCAGCCTCCCAAAGTGTTGGGATTATGGGCATGAGCCACCGTGCCTGGCTGGTGGATTGTGCCAAAAATGTATCTAGTTTAGTGAACAGAATGAATCCGTAGCATTCAAAAGATTTCCTAAGGAGTCTTCAATCATTAAGAACCATATGCTTAATCAAATTTAATATGCATGACAACCTTTAGAAATAGTTGGCATTATTAGGGCTTTGGAGGGATACAAAGATGGCCCTCAAGGTGCTTATATGTATACCCAACTCACTATAAATATAAGGTAGAGAGTGAAAAGTCTTATTAGAAAGGTATGATTAGCCGGGCTCGGTGGCTCAGCCTGTAATCCCACGCCTTTGGGAGGCTGAGGTGAGTGGATTTCCTGAGCCCGCGGGTTCGAGACCCACCTGGGCAACTTGGTGAGACCTTATCTCTACAATAAAATCAAAAATTAGCTGGGCGTGGTAGTGTGCGCCTGTAGTTCCAGCTACTTGGAAGGCTGGGTGGAAGGATCACCGGAGCCCAGCGTTTCGAGGCTGCGGTGGCCGGGAGCAACCACTGCACTCCAGTCTGGGTGACAGAGTGAGACTCCAACTCAAAAAAAAAAGAAAGAAAATTGTATCAAGTGCCCACTATACTCCAGTTATTATTCTAGGCCTTGAGTATATAATATTGGACAAACAGATACAAATCCATGTCTTCATGGAGCTTACCTTCTTTTAGGGAATCATACACAGGCAATGTGATCCTTCTCTCCATATTATATATTGCAATGTCAGAGCAACTTTGATTATATGCCTAATAATGCCTTCCACATAACACTGTTTAGTGAATGTTTGATTGAATGACTAAAAGAATAAACTGAAGAGCTGGAAGAGATCTCCCCCCCCCCCTTCTTTCTTCCTGTCCTCTCCCCACCCCACATAGTCTCTCTAGAAGAGATTTTAAGGGGTCATGATCCCAGTTTTCAGGCAGGACCATATGTAACTCATTTTTTCCAAATTTTTGAAGAAATTTGAAATCTGGGTTATTTTCTTAATTCCTTATGTGCTATAGGAGATTTGGCATAAACTGAAGAATCAAACTTGGATGACTGCATCTAATATTAAGCTACCTTAGGTACTTTGGCACTGTAGAAATACAAAGCATCACCTTTATTTGTCATTTCTAGGGGAGGTGACTCCAGGACTGTCTCAGGTGGAATATGCACTTCGCAGGCACAAACTAATGTCTCTGATCCACAAGGAAGCACAAGGGCAGAGTGGGACAGACCAGACAGTGGTTGTGCTCTCCAACCCTACATACTACATGAGCAATGATATTCCCTACACGTTCCACCAAGACAATAATTTCCTGTACCTGTGTGGATTCCAAGAGCCCGATAGCATTCTGGTCCTTCAAAGCCTCCCTGGAAAGCAGTTACCATCGCACAAAGCCATGCTTTTTGTGCCTCGGAGAGACCCCAGTCGAGAACTTTGGGATGGCCCACGATCTGGCACTGATGGAGCAGTAGCTCTAACTGGAGTAGATGAAGCCTATACACTTGAAGAATTTCAACATTTCATACCGAAACTGAAAGGTAACAAATGGGAGCAAAAGTCATATCACAAACTAGATTGGGATTGAGATATTCCTTTCCTATTTTAACAAAGTTCTTAATTTTCTAAAATGATTATAGTTAGCAGCATTTTCGTGAGCACCATGAAAGAGATAAATCGGCCTGGCTCAGTGGCTCACACCTGTAATCTCAACATTTTGGGAGGCGGAGACAAGAGGATTGCTTGATCCCAGGGGTTCGAGACCAGCCTGGGCAACTTGGCGAGACCTTGTCTCTACACTCAATCAAAAAATTAGCCAGGCACAGTGAGGTGCACCTGTAGCTCCAGCTACTTGGGAGGCTGAGGCAGAAGGATCTCCTGAGCCCAGCAGGTCGAGACTGCAGTGGCTCCATACTACATGAACAGTGATGTTCTCTATACATTCCACCAATACAAGATTTCCTTTACCTGTGTGGATTCCAAGAGCTCAGTAGCATTCTGGTTCTTCAAAGCCTCCCTGGTAAGCAGTTACCATCGCACAAATTATTTGGGCATGGTGGCATGTACCTGTGTTTCCATCTACTTGGAAGACTGAGGCAAAAAGATCACCTGAGCCCAGCAGGTTGAGACTGCGGTGGTTGTGAGTGTGCCACTGCACTCCATCCAGGGTGACAGAGTGAGACTGTGACTCAAAAAAAAAAAAAAGTTCTTTTTGGTAGAGTTTAGGTCTCTCTGTTGCTGAGGCTGGTCTTGAACTCCTGGACTCTATTGATCGTCCCACCTTGACCTCCTTATTTTTTCAAGTATCTTATTTGGAAAATAAGACAAATGTTCAAATTGGAAAATACTGACTTTATACCAAAAATAATGTATAATTATAATGTTTTAGTTTGATTTCTTTTTTTTTTTTTTTTGAGTTGGTGTCTCACTCTATTGCCCAGGCTAGAGTGCAGAAACACACTCACAGCCACTGTTGCTGCAACCTGCTGGGCTCAGGTGATCCTTTTACTTCAGCCTTCCAAGTAGCTGGAACTACAGGCACGCACCAGCACGCCCAGCTAATATTTTGATTTATTCTAGAGACAAGGTCTCGCTTAGTTGCCCAGGTTAGTCTCAAACTCCTGGGCTCAGGTAATCCTCTCGCCTCCTTATCCCAAAGTGCTAGGATTATAGGTGTGAGCCACAGTGTCTGGCTAGTTTGATTTTCTTATCTGGCTTGTAAATCATTTCTGAAGTTAGTTTTTAAAATAATTTTTTAAATGTTTCTATCAAGCATAGAATAATTGGACTTGTTTCCTACAAAGACTCCTTTGAAAGAAAGTATATATTTGAATATGTAAGTTATAATATGTTTGATTAAATTCTTTCATTACTTTATAGACATATTTTCTGTTTCAATAATTATCCTGTTCAATTCGTGGGCACTGCCGCCTAGACCTACTGGGCTCAGGTTATCCTTCCACCTTAGCCTTGCAAGTAGCTGGAACCACAGGCACATACCACCAAGCCCCGCTAACTTTTTGGCTTATTATAAAGCAGTCTTGTCAAGTTGCCCAGGCATGTCTTGAAACCCTGGGCTCAGGCACTGAGCTTTCTTATGTCTTCAAAATCCATATAAATATATAAACATGGAGCTTAGGATCATTTTCTTTGTAGCTTTGCTATCTTATACTAGTTGCTAGCTTCATATTCTACAGTCTAAATTTCATTAACCTGCTATAATTAAAATATCTCCCATAAAATAAGTTTCTCAAAAGTACTTCTCAGCCAGGTGTGGTGGCTCATGCCTATAATCCTAGCACTTTGGGAGATGAAGATGAAAAGATTGCCTCTTTCAGAAGGAGATACTATATTCTCAAACAATGATCCTTGCATCACCAATATCAGCATCACTTGGGGCTACATATTAAAATTAGAAATGCATAACACATAGTGGAAATATAAAATCTCAAGTTTTCACCTCATATTTGCTTTTTTTTTTTCCTGAACAGGACTCTCTTGCCCAAGCTGGAATGCAATGGCACGCTCATAGCCACCACCTGTAATCCCAGCACTTTGGGAGGTGAAAGGCGAGAGGATTGCCTGAGCTCAGGGGTTCAAGACCAGCCTGGGCAACTTGGCAAGACC